ATCATCCGCGCTATGAAGGACCAAACTATTATGTATGAATTATTATACATATAATTGTTATTCCAAAACTTTAATTGAAAAGATAAAACGTTATAAAGTATAAAAACTGAATTTACAATATGCACTGAAAATGAATACAAGTCTTTATTTCAAAGTGAATGGATCTCGAATGCTGAAAACTAGTTGTCGGTCGAAGGTCAACGTCGTAGACCAAACACACGGTGGCTCCACGGGGGCGGAGGGGTTACCGGTTCCTGGTGTGTGCGACAACTGTTATACAGGGGTCGATCAACAGTTAAACACTGGGTGTTATACGCTTTTTCATTTCAAATTTTTAAAGGGGCTAATAGTATTCCAAATTCATTGAAGGTGAAGGTATATAATTTTATTCAGAAAGTGTAATTTTAAAATAAAAATCATACACTTCAAGATTTTTTCTTAAAATTTAATACCCAATAAAATCAATAATTAATGCGGCACTGTCATAGTGGCAATGCCATTATTTCCTGATAATATTTTAAGGACGACATTAAAGAGTGTTATGTTTCTATAATTTTCGCAGATTTCATATTTCCAGTACCTGAGATGATTTTAAAATTCCTACTGGTAGTTTAAATTATGGATACGCTTCCATATTGCATATTCACGCTTCTATAATACACATCCACCGTTCTTTACTAGTTCTGCAGTTCCTCTGTTTATGCCGTATGCTTTGCAATTCTTTAGACGTTTTGTAACGTATATATTTTTGTGATTAAAAATCGTCCTGAGTTTCTTTACTTTGATCCGATTTAAAAACAATAATCTTTTTCTGAAAAATGTCTGTTTGGATAAAAAAACATCTTTATAAACGAATAGTTTATTTTGTAGTTTATTACAGATCCTTGTTAAAGAAAAAGTTATATTTAAACAAGCGGCTATAGTAAGTAAGCTGATACCACAATTCATAAACTGTCAATATTAGGAACATATAACGAACTATCGTGGAAAGTCACCCAGATCTACAATATGTGTGCATTATCGAGAAAGCCACCCAGCAAATTATCCTAAATGCATAGTGGCTAAAGAAGTACAGACAATTCAAAATAAATAAATGAAGTAACGAGACTTGCCTACGCAACGAAACAGTATACCAATTATATCCAAAACCTACTTAAGAAAAAATAAGAATAATAACACGACCTGACGAACATATAGCTGAGAAAAATAGTAATGCTACTAACACTGATAGTAAAAACAATCAGAGTAAGGTAAAACTTCTAATACTGCAACTTTAAACCTTGTATTAGATACAAGAAAAATTAAATATATTAGATGCAAGAATAATTACAAATGTTTAAAAACACAACTAAGGTACGATACCAAAAGAGTAGGTGTCATTTTCCATGTAAATCTTCATAAAAAATCTTAGGTTCATTTTGGACATTAAAACAGAATTCATCATCATCATCATGGCTTATTCACTCCTGGCGGAGTGTTTGCCGCCCTTTTGGGCTCTCTGATTCATTTATTGCGGAGAATCAGTCCGCTGTTGTTTTTTTTTATTATTATAGCAGCGTGTGTGACTTGGCCCTGTCTACAATTTTCCTCAATTCTTTCCGATCCTTACAGCGCTCCTTTCAATTGTAGATTCTCAGCTTCTTTATGTCTCCTAAGACTTGATCTCTCCATCTTGTTTTGGGTCTCCTCTTTGGTCTCTTTGTTGTTGGTCTCCATCCAGTTATTCGCTTTAGCGTAGAGTCTGGGTTAGCTCTTTCTGTGTGCCCCAGCCACCTGAGCCTTTGCGTCTTAACGAACTTGATTATGTCTTCACCCTCGATGACTTCTTTAATTTCTTCATTGGTTAATCTTCTAAATTCGCCTACCCTTATCCTCACCGGCCCCATTATTCGTCGAATTATCTTTCTCTCTAAGATTTCTAACCTCATTTCATCTTTTTGTGTTAGGCACATCGTCTCTGCACCATAGGTGATCACTGGCCTGATTGCAGTCTTGTAAATTTTAAAACAGAATTAGATAGCTCAAAAAGTAAACAATGGAAAGTAAGGATTAGAGGATGGATAAACAAAGGGAATTTAAATATTTAGAGCCTAAACGGCTTATCGTATAAGGGTATGTAAGAGTCGTTGAAAAGATGAAAAGGCAGAGTGATTAGCAAGTAAAAGAACGAACACAATGACTGCCAAAGGACACTACACCATATCATCGTATAAAATAGGCTAAGCAATCAAGAATACTGGAATGGAATACCAACAACCTTCTACAACATTAATCAGAACTCCATATAGTACACTAGTGGATTAAAGATATAGAAAAAATGTGACATTTTTATATGTCACATAGCTTAAACGCATTTTACTTATGGATGATATGTTGCTGAAATAAATTTAAATAACAGAAGTGTCAGCACAATGATCGCCTGTAGCATGTCAGGACGCATGACAAGCATGGTGAAATCTGATGTGCTACAGGCGCTCATTGTGCTAACACTTGTTATTTAAATTTATTTCTGCAAAAATCACATTTAAAGAATATTTATTATTCAATAAAATCCATCTCCATAATGAAAATAAAGGTGTCAGTGGAAAAAATTAAAATAAAAGATAGTGAAAAAAAAAAGAAGAGTTTGGAGTAGTCTTTATAGTTAACAATAAAACTGAAATAAGCCATATTAGATTTTAAAGCAGTGAATGAGAGAACATGTAAACTTAGAATAAAAATAAAAATCTTTAACCTCTCAATTTCTCTCTCTCATTCCATAGAAATCAAATGTAGAATAGAGAAAGCAAGATCTGCATTTCAAAAAATGGCTAAGTTATTCAAATGTCATGATTTATCAATGTCCATAAAAATCAGGTTACTACGATGTTACATCTTTCCTATACTGTTGTACGGAGTTGAGTCATGGACTCTCACAGACGCCACCTGCAAGAAAATTGAAGCTTTTGAAATGTGGCTTTATCGTCGCATCCTGAAGATATCGTATACCGACCACGTTACTGATGAGGGTGTTCTGTTGAGAATGAAAAAAGAAAAAGAGCTGTTAACCATAATATAAAAACAGCCAAAATCGAATACCTCGGTCACATCATGAGGAACAGCGAAAGATATAGACTGCTGCAACTAATCTTGCAGGGAAAAGTAGAAGAAAAACGGGGACTAGAAAGGCGAAGGATTTCCTGGCTGAAAAATTTACGAACGTGGTTCAACACAACAACCACAAATCTTTTTAGAGCAGTAGTGTGCAAAGTGCAGATTGCCATGATGGTCGCCAACATCCGAAACGGATAGGCACTACAAGAAGAAGAACCTCTCAATCATTAATATACATTTCCCACCACAAGAACATAACATAGAAATAAAAGAAGATTTTTACTAACAGCTAGAGGAAGTATATGACAGCTCACTGAGAAAACGACGTTAGGATCGTAATAGGAGATATGAATGATCAAATAGGCAAAGAAGAGCTTTTCTTAGTAGTCATTGGTAAACATTAACTCCATCAAAACAACGATGAAAATGGAGAATTAATTATCCATTTTGCCAGTAGAAAAAAATATGATCATCAGCTTAACTTTTTTCCCATACCGCGACAGACACAAAGCGATATGGATTATGCCTGGTGAAACAACCACCATCCAAATCGATCATGTTTTGATAGAAAAAACGGCTGCAACAAGCATATAAAATGTAAAGAGCCGAAGAGGAGCATGCTGCGGATCTGACCATCTCCTAGTACAGATAAAATACATATATAGAATTTAAAGAAACATGAGGGACAGATAGGACCAAATAGCTGAACAACTAAATATGTAAAAATTGAGACAATAAGATTTCAAACAGAACTCTGAGACCGAAATAACATAAACGTTTACAAATACAGGCAGTCTAGGCACTGAAGGACATTGGGAAGAAATAAAATAGAAGTAATTGACGCAGCAAGAAAGATCATAGCCAAAAAAAAGAAACAAACAAAAAGAGAATGGTTTGATAACGAGTGTAAAAAGGCCATACAGAAAGGAAATGAAAAACACAAGAAATGTATGGAAAGAAGAACCAGAGAAAGAAAGGCAAGCTACGAAGATTTAAGACGGAGGGCCGATAAAACATGCCGATCAAAGAAAAGAAAATACGAGAACGGTAACATACAGAAAATGAAAGAAAATCTCCAAAGCAACGATATTAGAGAAGAGTATAGATATCTACGTAATTGAAGAGAAGGATAACAACTCCAAAAAAATCTATGTAGAAATCAAGAAGGATAATTAACCAGTCATCCAAAAGAAATAAAATCAGTCTGGAAAACCTATTTCCAAACTCTCCTAGGGATGCAAGAAAATGAAGAGCATATTGACATGCATCACATTGAGAGAGACACAGAAAATATAGAATCCCCCACAATGAAAGAGGTAAAAAAAGCAGTACGAACACAGAAGAATAACAAGGCTCCAGGTATTGACAACGTCCCCTCTGAACTATATAAATTGATAGCGAACACCTAGTAAGACAAATGCATATGCGTATGAACAAAATTTGGAACGAGGAAAAGATCCCTAGCGACTAAAAAATCGGGAATATATGCCTAATCTATAAAAAAAGAGGATAAACTGAAATGTAAAAATTATCAGTAGTTCAAAAACTACCTTTTAATATTAATTACTATTTAACTGGGAATAAGCCACAATTAAAGATAAAAATACGTTTATTGACGTTTCAATTTACACTTCGCAAATCGTTCTCTTTTAATAATTTAAAATAGATAAAAACTACATTAATCTATCTGAACAGACTATAGTAAAAAGGTATTGTATGAGGTTTATTTCTGTCAAACGATGTTTTTTTATTTGATTGTTATTTGATATAATCGGTAAGTTTGTCTACGTTGAGCGTGGTGCACTCTGTATACTAGTCTTTTAGTTCAAAAAACCGATTTACCGCTTAGAGACATAGTCTCATCCTCCCTCCATCACAATTTTTATTACTTCTCAAAATAATCTTACCTTGTGTTGACACCGCTCTGCTCCTAGCCAAGTCGATTTTATTGGCGACGAGGATAGCCGGTCTAGATCGCAGCTGGTCAGTATCCTGCAGCCTGCTCAATTCCGTTTCCGCCTTCAGAAAACTGGCCTTGTCAACAACTGAATAAAGGACGATGAAAGCATCAGGGGGGTGGTGGATCTTGTCGACAACGTCCTGCAGCAAAAATAAGGGTTTTATGCGTGCGTGACAATAGAGCCATAGGGTGATATCAAAAAATGTTTGATGAACGCAAGAGGCATAATACTTTGTTTTTTAAGGATAAGACGTGTGAAGAAAAAGATTTAGTTTGTAAGCTTTCATATAAAGTTTATTTTGATTTAAATTAAAAAGAAATATTTTATTATTACACAATATAGAATAGATAGGAATACAATTAAACTGATTATATAAATTGCTTCAAACTATTAAGTCAAATCAGGAGTCAATACAATGAGCACAGACATCATAAAGTGTAGTACAAAGTATTTAAAAAGGTTAAATTATTGATTACCTAACTGTACTATTAACGATTTTATAAACAGATAAACCAGACTAAACAGACTCAAATGTATTACCATTGGAATGTACGTATCCCATAACAATAAAAATATAATTGACGAAATGTGTAGTGTTTTTTTGAAACGCAAGCCTAAAGAAAAGAGGGACATTTTTAAAAGCAAAAGCAAAAATAGTTGTTCGTAAATATAGATGTATCATTATCTTCGTCTGCTTCAATATAATTACTTCGGGCCGAAATGTAGTTTAACTATCTGTTGCTAAAATACATTTCGGCGAAAAGCTTTGAAATGCAGTTGCTGGGTTTAAAAAATAAAGAATTAGGTGCTCAAAATTAATGCGACTTTGTGTCTATTTAGCGCTTTTGGAGATAACTAAAAATGAATTAAATTTACAGCAATACAACGGTAATGTTCGCTGGTAATTTTAGGGGAGTATTTGTAGTTTTTTTCTAATGATACCTTTTGCATCATATATGATATCAAGTTTTAAGAAATGTAGGGCTACCTGAACTCAGACTTATTTATTAAACGGAATCTTGGGAGTGTACTTTTAATACTAATTATTGACATCAAAATGTTTACTAAGGCAAAGATTAACTTTGTATTGTTAATATTTGTTGTCAATATTAATAAACTCAATTTTGTATTGGTAATATTTGGCTATTTAGTATGACTAGTTTTTCAACGAATGCACTAGAAAAATAATTCATTTCAATTACCTAGGGTATTACACAAAATTCGCGAAAGACAGCGACACTGGGTACAGAGTATCCTAATAATTCATCTATAGAAATATTAAATTCATCTATAAACATAGAAACTGGGAAGCCAGGACATTGGTTTGTCTAGGAGCAAAGGTATAAACAAGTTGAACGATCACCGATGGGTTCACCACTGTCACCGATAATAGCAAACCTGTTTATGCAAGTAATAGAACTGCGAGCAATATTAACAGCCTAACATAAACCCAAACTTTGGCTTAGGTACATGGTTTATCATCTGGACATATGAAGAAGAAAAACTAAACGTGTTTTAAAACACATCAATGATATCTACCACAAAATTCAGTTTGCTGGAACTGGAAGAAAATGAACAATTACTATTTTTAGATGTGTTAATAATAAAGAAGGAAGACAAACACATAGGACACACAATATACCGAAAACCCACACACACCGACAGATATCTACATGCAGATTCACTTTACCATCCTGCACATCCTGTCATTAAAACTCGGATGACAAGATCCGAACGACTGACTGACAAAAATTATCAAATTCAAGATATGCATAATGTGAAAACAGCGTTAAGAAAAACGGCTTTTCAACATATACTATTAAAAAGGCTCAAGGCAGAATGCTCAAGGAATAATTAAGGACCCAACAGAAGACGTAAAACCGATTACAAAAGCCATTCTATTATAGTTAAGAAGATTGCTAAGAAAACACAAAATAGAAACGATATTTAATACCGACAGAAAAATCTCAACTATTTTACCATCCGCCAAAACAAAAACATAGTTGGAAAATCAAGCAGTATACGAGATTCGATGTGGGGACAATTCGTACATAGGACAGACCAGCCGAAGAATCAATTTTAGACTAGAAGAACATCGAAATTAACTGGTATTTTTAACTTAGTAGAATTTTATACTGTTCCTCTTTTTTTTTCAGGTCTTTATCGACTTAGCTAAAGCAATACAACAATTGTTACATCCAAGTGAACGAAAAATGATTTCTATATGGTTCGACAAATTACTAGAAATGGATAAAAACATGGAAGAGATGCTTATTCGGAGTGACTATATATATATATATATATATATATATATATATATATATATATATATATATATGCTGTAAATGAAGGCAAATGTAGATATACTAAAGGCGATGGAATCACAAACATAAGGGAACGTTATGACAATTTTCACAATAAAAATGAATTTAAATTGCTCAATCTAGAGAGCAGCGAAATATAGACTGAATATTCTATGATGACAGAAAAACATGCAACATTCCTTTACGACTTAAATAATTTACGTCGTGTACAATCAAATCTACATGACAAATAATATAACACAAAACATACGTACGTTGAAAATGAGTGAGGTTCGTTGTTTGATCGAAATTGCATTATATGTTAACTCCCCGCATTGGAGAATCTATTTTAAAGTTCATCAAGCGTGATGATTAACAAACAGACACGATGCAGGAGAAACAATGATTATTTTGTTTTAATTAAATGAGTGGAAATAAAGATACAATCAATTAATGAAATAACAGCGATACCAGTATTTTAAATTCATTTATTAATTTACCAAATCATATCTATTACTGGTACAATATTTACTGATTTTTAATAAATACAATTTTTTGTAAAAACCAATATATAGAGAGAACAACCAGCAGAAGAGGGTTTATGTTTATAATGAAGCGGTAACAGTTTTATTATTTATGTCACTTTAGTACTTTGTATATTGATAAAAGGTATTTTAAAATGAGTTTGGTAATTGCATTAAAAATAATCTAGGGGATAGAATAATAGACCAGGGACATAAAGTTTTTTTCGTTACACTGACCCGTCCAGGCAAACGACAATTGTTTTGAGTAGTATGGACCACTTACAAAAACCTATATGTTTCCATCAGTCGATTTTTTAGTTAACTTAATTAACTTAATTAGTAATTAACAAATTACGGTCAAAAAACGGTAAATTTCCACTTTTTTCAAACAAATTTAAAAGTAATAAACTTAAAAGTCATACAAAAACCTTCAAACTGGCGTCTCTAAATGTTTTTTTTTTTCAACAAGAAATAGTATTATTCTATCAACAGTTTTAAAATATTGCAAATTTACAATTTCTTGACCTTAATTAGTTAATAACTAATTAAGTCCAAAAAATCGACTGCAGAAAACAGAAATTCTTATTATAGAGGTGTACACAATTGAAAACAACTGTCGTTTGCCTGGCCGGTTCAGTGTCACAAACAGGGTACCTTTTTTGCTTATTTCCTCAGAACTGCGATATGGCTCTCATAAATGAGAAAGTTGCTGGACAGAACGTCCAGCAATATATCCTACTGAGGACGAGATATAATTTTCATCGTGCCCATCGTCCATACCCTGGACAAGTTTTCGTAACAACCTTGAAAACATTCCCATTACTATTGCGTGGTAGAAAATTGAATACTTGACTTGCATTTTTTCTAAGAACCTCTTTTTCAACCGGAATCTTTGTGTGCTCATGTAAACAAATCGTTTTCAACTACAAAAACATCTTGAAATATATACTTTTAAATTGGGGAAAAATAACACGTATTAATTGATTATTCTAGCGTCCCTAATTTTAAACTGGAGTTTGTAACACAGACATTGTAACACAGACAAAAAAATATTTGAAGCGATATTACGCATTTAAGAATCTCAACTTAAAAATACCATAACAAATTGATTGCTTTAAAATTTCTTCGTAAAAGACAAACACAGAATTCTTGGTAATTTTTATGCTTACTGACGAGATAAACAACCAGGGGCGTACTACAAAAATTTAAAACAGAATCTATATTATTATATAGACATTAAATATAAAACGCTACAAAATAATGTGGAAAGAAACAGATGGCCCGGAAGAACTAAATAATTTTAAATTTACTGATAGTCCAGGATTCAACATTGACGAAGAGCAACTACGTGGTCATGAACCGATTGATTCTTACTTAGTATTTGTTGATAATGAAATTCAAGATTTGTTAATAAGAGAAAAAAATAGATATGCTTAACGGAAAGTAGTTGACAAATTTGTAAATGAAACTATCAAAAATTATTCGCTTTTATGCAAATGACAAGACACAGATAGAGATGAATTACTTCGTTTTTAGAAGTTATAATTTTGATGTTATTGGACAAGAAACCAGAGTTGAGAGACAATTGGAGCAACAATCCACTTTATAAAAATGCGATTTCTTAAAGTTGCGGTTTAAGCAGAAACCGACTCGAGGTCCTTTTATATTGTTCTTACATTTTCAATAATAAAAATATTCCACTAAATACAGACTATACAAAATCTCACCTCTTATAGCAATCTTGAATATTAAATTTCAGAAAATTTTTACGTCTAACAATTCTGTGTATTCATGAGACAATGGTGCCTTTTCGTGGAAAGTTAAGTTTACTTCAATATATACCTGGAAAAAGGATAAATACTTAAAAAACTATACTGGGGAACGAAATACCATCAGAGAAATCCTTAGCTTCTAGGGTAGCTATGGAACTCATCCAACCTCTTTTAGGTACCGGAAGAATATTATTCACGGATAATTTCTGTACAAGCTTGGAACCAGCACACGAGTTAAACAGACAAAGCACACACTTAGTTGGTACATTACGCGCCAACAGGAAACGCAATCCAAAAGCTGTCGTAAATGTCAAGCTCAAACGAGGAGAAATTAAATCTTTACAGAGCAACACAAAAGTAAGTTATTGTCAGCAAGCTAAAAGATAATAGGAATGTTCTCTTTTTAACCACTAAGGATCCTCCTTCAATGATTGAAGTAGAGACTAAACGTAGACCTATTACTACGCCATCGAATGTTGACGAATATGTTACGGGAGTTATAGGAGCTGACCCTGTTCTAGTCATTCACCTAAGAATGAT